AGGATCGGTGGTGGGCTCTGCGGGGTCTATGGTGGGCAGAGCCCATTACGGATCCTGCACAGCCCCCCTAAGACCCTGCAGACTGCAGGGCCTCGGGGGCTGTGCAGGATCTGTGGGGGCTCTGCAGGCTCTCGGGGCTGTGTAGGATCTGTTGTGGGCTCTGCCCACCATGGACCTCGCAGAGCTCACCACAAATCCTGCAAAGCCCCCCTGAGACCACAGCTTTCCTGCTACGCTAATAGCGGAACATGTAAAAAGCTGGATACAGCATGTGCACTGTATCCAGCGGCTGGCAGGTTACGTAAAAACTATTAAACAGGAAGGGGTGGGGTAAATTTAGTGGGGGGTGGGGCATCCGTGTTTTGCCTTGCCTAGGGCAGCCCCAAACCAGAATACACCACTGATCCCAGGAGCTCACAATGGAGGTGAAAAGCTCAGCTATAGATGAGGGCAGATCTATAAGGGAGCATCCAACCGGATCGTTGCAGGACTTCCAGGAATGGGGCTGTTCTGAGTCACACACATGTGTATGGAATGCTATGGCGACACGTTTTTCGTGGCCATGCCTCTTTCTCAAGCCACAGTGGGAACTAGGGAATCTCAATCCACAATGGGAACTAGGGAAAGGTACTGTTGAGCGCTTGAATTTATACCCATATTACTAGGCGGAGTCTTTTTCTGATATTTTTCCTTATTTTTACATATGTATGAACTTGCAAACACAAAATTGCCTATTTCAACACAGCAAAGGAACTTTTTTCACAATTTGAAATAGAAAAACTTATAAGATAAAAAAGATATATGAAATATAAAGCACTTTTTACATTTTTGCTGTGTGATTCCACAGCAGTAATATACTTTCTTACTAAGTGCACCCACACATATTAGTCACCGGGTTACATACAAGTTAGGGACTTTAGGTTTGTACTTAAGTTGAATTTGTATGCAAGTCAGAACAGGTAAATTTTTTTAAGTGTTAACTCCAGCCAAAAAAACATTTTTTAGTTTTGGATAGCATAGTGAAGGGTCACGGTTCTTTTGCTGTCTGTTCCTGTTGTTCAGAAGATTATAATATAATTAAAAACATTTTTTATTTAAAATGACACAGCATATTTTATAAACTTAATTTTTTATTTGTTTGCATTTTTTAATTTTTATTTAACTTTTTCTTTACTTTTTGACATTTTTTTGTCTTAATTAAATTTTTTAATTTTTAAAAACTTTTTTATTGTTTGTATTTTAATGCTGGGAGCCATAGTCAGCCTGCTATTGGATATTTAAAATTGCAATAGCCAATAGCAGGCTGGCTATTGCATCTGCCCACTGCCTGCTGTCAATCAGCAGATGAGGGGCCTGAAGCCGAAAGTTCTCTTTCGGCTCCCCCCATGCTGATAGCAGACAGTGGGCGGGTGCAATAGCCAGCATGCTATTGGCTATTGCATTTTACAATATCCAATAGCAGGCTGGGTATGGCTCCCAGCCTGCAATGAAGAGTAAGCAGGGGGGCGGGGCAGAGGAGCCGTGGCCTGACCAGGAGACCGGAGGATCGTCTGGACCATGGAAGCCGACGGAACGGCTGAAGAGGAAGCCGGCACATCAGCGGAGGTACGCGGGGCATCGGCGGTATGCAGCGGTCTGTGTCCCCGCTGCCTCCGACAACACAGGCGCGGAGAGCAGCGGGGATTTGAAAGACACAGACGGCTGCCGGTACATTTAGGAGAACTGTGGACCCCGTTCGTAAGTACGGATTGTCCGTAAGTCGGACGTCCGTAACCCGGGGACTGCCTGTATTGTTTTTTAGTGGACAGATAGGGCTATATATTTATATCACATATGTGTGCCTAACGCCTCACTTAGTATGAATACCATATAAAAAAAAGGAAAAAACGTAAATAAACTTTTCCCCGATTTTGGTTATTATATTTTTTAAATAGCACAGCTAAAAATAATTCATTAAAATAAATTAGGGCTGGTAATGATTAAAATTTTCGTGTTCGATTAATCACATTTTTTAAAATCGATTCATTTCGATTAATTATAACGCACATACAAATCCAACTACATTGGCCTATACACATATACAGCACAGCAATGAAGTAATAAAATGAACTAGGATCACACTCATCCAGCACGTTATTAATCTCACGTGCCCCACTCAATATGCCAGCCGCTTGAGTGGGGCAACTCAGAATAATAACGTGCTGGATTACAAATGTATTTACATAGTATAATAAAACAGCAAAGCCCTAAGGGTGATTTAAACATAAGTATTAGCTTAATATTTGAAGTAGCAGCACCTGTCCATTCCATTTCATGTAAGGACCTGATTGCAACATAATATCAGTAAATTTCAATTTGTTCTGGGGCAGAACAAAATTTTGCGCCCACCCCGATGATATGTGGGGGACATATCGTAATTGAACTACAAATCCTAGCATACCCTTATTGTCCCCCTACACCCCCAAAATATTACCCAGTGAACTACAAGCTCCAGCATGCCCTCATTGTCCCTGTACGCCCCCAAATATCACCCAGGGAATAGTAAGCTGATTGGCAGGCTCCTGTCCTCCTTCTGTGCAGGGGAGCCCGGATGCCTGTGGGGAAGGAGCCTGCCAATAAACAGGTTATCATGGCAAGTGGGCCATGATATTTTTTATTTTAATCGTTTTTTTCTTATTTTTTACTTTTTTATTTATTTAATTATTTTTATCAAATTTTTTCATTTAACTTTATCGCTATCACACAGGAGCTAACAATCCTCTGTGTGATGGCATTTGGAGGTGACAGGTTCTCTTTATTGAACCTGTCCCCCCTCTCACAGGAGTTCCAGCACAGTGCTGTGCTAGAACTCCTGTCTTGGAGGTAAGACTGCTCTCCCCTCTCACTGTTTACACGGAGCAGCAGGGTTATCAGGGATCACAACCTGAAAAAAGCAATTTCAGGGAGGTGCACTTCTCATTTCAGGGAGGTGCCCTCTGCCACCACCACCCCACCCACCCCCATCCGCTGGGAGGAATGGGGGGGGGGGGGAGAGCACCCCCCTGAAATGATGACAGCACAGGAAGCAATAGCTTCTTTGCTATCTGCAGGGTTTTGTTTTTTTTAGGATTCTGACAGCTGCTGCCATCGGAATAAAAAAGAAAAACCCAGCATAGGAATGCATAGCTAGATTCCTATTCGCTATTTCACTTTGCAATAGCAAACTAGCTATTGCACCCGCCCTCTGCTGTTGTCAATCACTAGAAGGGGACCTGATGGAGAACTTCAGGTCCCCCTCTGCTGATTGACTGACTGACGGCGGCCGGCAGCTCCCGATGTCAGAAGAAAAAAAAAACAGTGAGGAGAGAGACTCGGCGACAGGGGGAGGTGGGAGCCTGGACGGAGCCAGTGAGGAGAGAGGTAGGTGCAGGGGGAGGAAGACGACTAGCTGCAGTCTTATTACAAGTGATCTCGGCGACATCAGCTTCCCCACATTACATTTAGTCCTTGTGCAAAGCAGGACTAAATGTAGAAAGCAACTTACTGCCCACCGGGATTCCACACCGCTGCAGCCTTTCGCCGGGTCTCACTTGATGGGGGGGGCCCAGCTGTGCGGCTGCCCCCCATCCCCAGTTGTTACGCCACTTGCCAGTGCATACCCTTGGTCAACAAAATTTAAAAAAACTAGTGTGGCTGAATCTGACAGTAAAACAAGACATCAATGAGGAAAAGCTGGCATTTAAAAAGTGCAAGACAAACAAATATTTTTTCTAGAACATCCACTGGGACGAGGACACCACACCCCTAGATTCGATATATACCAACAGAAAATTTGATGGGGCTTTTAAGGTGTCTATTAGGGAATGTTGGGGAACAAAGCTAAACATATTATCGCAATATAGTGGGTATTCATTATTGTAAAATATTTTTTATTTCATAATCAAAATACAGGTGAAACTCGAATAATTTAGAATATCGTGCAAAAGTTCATTTATTTCACTAATGCAACTTAAAAGGTGAAACTAATATATGAGATAGACTCGTTACATGCAAATCAAGATAGTTCAAGTCGTGATTTGTCATAATTGTGATGATTATGGCTTACAGCTCATGAAAACCCCAAATCCACAATCTCAGAAAATTAGAATATTGTGAAAAGGTGCAATATTCTAGGCTCAAAGTGTCCCACTCTAATCGGCTAATTAAGCCATAACAACTGCAAAGGGTTTCTGAGCCAAATTTTG